CTGATCAAACTGGAAAATAATAATAAATAAAGTTAAATAAACTAATTCTTAAAAAATAAATAGTTGAATTTGAATAACTCTAGAAATAAAACTGAAATTGAAGTATTAATACTAGGCCAGCAGATGGCGTACCATTTGTGTTGCTGGACGCCCACATGGCCGACCAAGGTTTGAGTGCAGGACCCAGTGGCTTGAAAATCACACCAGGTGGGGACCAGCAGGTGGTGTGGTGGTTAAGGCACTGGACACTCCCACATAGCTGACCAAGGTTCAAGTCCTGAATCTGGTGGTTTGCTTTCTCACTTCCTCTCTCTCTCTCACTCTCACCCTCTGTCTCTCTCTGGTCAAACTAAAAAATAAATGAATGAATAAATAAAATAAAATAAATCATTATTTTTAAAAAAAGAAAAAAGAGAGAAAGAAAATCACACCAGGTGAATATGCATGTGTGCCCAAGATCCCTGGAGGAGAATGGAGAAAGGATTGCAGTGTGGCCATCCTCCCAGGGGGTGGTTTCTCACTTTTCCTCTCACTGTCTCTGTCTCTCCTTCTCTGTCAAGTGCATGTATCCCATGGCAAAAACCTCTAAAATAAATAAATAAAGTATTAATGCATACTGTGTGCTAGGTGTTGTGCTGTGTGCTAGGGATACAAAGATGGATACAATACAAAGATGAGTACAATACCTGTCTCACCTTCTGGTGAGACAGGTGAGACATTCAGTAATTTCAGTGTCATCTATCAACTGCTCTGATAGAGGCGGGTACAGGAGGTGCCCTCCCCACCACGGTCTTCTCTTTTTCTTTTTTAAAAGAATTACTTTATTTAATTTTATTTATTATTTGCAAGCCACCAGATCCAGGACTTGAACCATGGTCGGCCATGTGGGAATGTCCAGCGCCTTAACCACCACACCACCTGCTGGTCCCCAGTGTCTCATTTTTTTTTAAGAGAGATTTGTGCTGTAGGGCACCTGCACTCTTAGAGAAACAGAGAGAGACAGAAATTGAGAAACCGCTCTCCAGGGGGATGGCCACACCATAATCTCTTCTCCTCCATCTCCTCCTGGGATCTTGGGCACACACGCACATGCACTGAGCCTGTTTCAAGTCTGGAACTTGAGTTGTGGCTGACCGTGAGGGAGGTTGGCGCCCTAACCACTACACCACCTGCTGGCCCTGACCTCCGTGTCTTTATCCATAGAGTGGGACTAACCCCTTCCCATCTGTCTAGGGTTGTCCCGCTCCCTCAGTATCCACAACCCGTCGGCTCCAGGAGCCCTTGTGGATACCAGAGTCTGTGGATGTTCAAGTTCCTTATATAAAATGGCATAGGAGGGGGCTAGCAGGTGACTAGTTGTTAAGGGCACTGGACTCCCACATGGCTGACCATGGTTCAAGTCCCAGACCTAGAGGCTTGCTTTTTCACTTTCCCTCTCTTCTCTTGCTCACTCTGTCCCTCTCTGGTCAAATATAAATAAACAAATAAGTAAAAAATAAAAATAAAATAAAATAAAATAAAAAGTTAAATAATTATTTAAAAAGAAAAATGACATAGGAGGGCCAGCCCATGGCCTGGTGGTTGAGGTGGCTGGATCTCACATGACTGACTGTGCAGTTCAAGTCCTGGACTCAGCAGCTTAAAAAGCATGCCAGGGGGACCAGCAGTTAGCGTAATGGCTATGTCGCTGGACTCCCATGTAGTCAACTGCTGTTCGAGTCCCAGATCCGGTGGCTTAAACTCACGCCAGGCGCGTGTGCGTGTGTGCCTAAGATCCCAAGAGGAGAATGGAGGAGAAGGGATTGCAATGTGGCCATCCCCCCGGGGGGTGATTTTTCACTTTCTGTCTCTCTGTCTCTCTCTGTCTTTCTGGTGAGTGCAAGTGCCCTATTTCAAAAACCTCTTTAAAAAAAAAAACAAAAAGCCAGGTGCATGTGCATGTGTGCCCAGAACCCCAATGGGAGAGGCAGAGGCGTCGGCATTGCAGCACGGACGTGCCCCGTGGGGGCACCTTTCTTCCTTTTCCTTTCTCTCTCCTGTCGGGCAAGCACATGCGCCTTTGCCAAATTTTTAAAAAATAGAAAAGGCATAGCGTTTGCATATAACCTATGCACATCCTTCTGTATGCTTTTCATTACTTTTAAATTTCCTCCTGTATACCTTAAATCATCTCTAGATTACTTACAATACCTAATACAATGTAAAGACTATGTAAATTGATGTGTATACTCTATTGCTCAGAGAAAAAAGCCTGTACCTGTTCAGTGCAGACAATTTTTTTTTCCAATTCTTTTTTTTTGGGGGGAGAGGTTTTTTGCTATAGGGCACATGTGCTCGCCACAGAGACAGAGAGAGACAGAGAGACAGAAAGCAAGAAATCACCCCCCAGGGGGGATGGCCACGCCTCAATCCCTTCTCCTCTGTTCTCCTCTCAGGATCTTAGGTACTCACGCACACGCACCCAAAGTTTTAAGCCACCGGGTTCGGGACTCGTACCGCGGTCGACCACATGGGAGTTCAGCAACATAGCCATTATGCTAACTGCTAGTCCCTTTCCAAATATTTTTGATCCATGATTGGTTGACTCTACAGATGTGGACCTGGCAAATATGGAGGACTTACTGCTGTTTCTGGGATTAAATGAAGCAGTATTTGTTAAAACATCTTGTAAACTGCTGAGCACTATACAAGTGTTAACATATGGCAGTAAAGAGACGCATGTATTGGTGCCAGCAGCTGGTGTAGTGGTTAAGGTGTTGGACTCCCACATGCCTGACCACGGTTCAAGTCCTAGACCAGATGCTTGAAAATCATGCCATGTTGGGGCCAGCAAATGGTGTGATGGTTAAAGGCACTGGACTCCCACATGGTCAACCACGGTTCAAGTCTTGGACCTGGTGTCTTGCTTTCTCACTTTCCCTCTCTCTCCTTGTCCGATCAAACTGGAAAATAATAATAATAAATAAAGTTAAATAGAATAATTCTTAGGGAAAAAAAATAAAAGGAACCAGCAGATGGTGTAATGGTACATTGCTGGACTCCTGACTATGGTTCGAGTCCCAGATTCGGTGGCTTAAAAACACACCAGGCACATGTGCTTGCATGCCCAAGATCCCAAGAGGAGATGAGGAAAAGGGATTGCGGCATAGCCATCCCCTCTGCAGTTGACTACATGGAAGCCCAGAGACGTAACCATTATGCCATCTGCTGGTCCCGCAATTGCCAATTTCAAAACTGAGATTTTGACATGCCTGTGCTGAAACAAAATACTTTGGCCACATAGTTACAGGTAAGTGGGAAAGCTATGCAACATAAGAATCAAGCCTTATTTTTTTGCTATAGAACACGTGCACTTAACCAGAGAGAGACAAAGACAGAGAGGGGGAAAGTGAGAAATCGCTCCCCTGGGGAATGGCCACACACCAATCCCTTCTCCACCTTTCTCTTCTCAGGACTTTGGGCACATATGCACACACGCCTGGTGTGTTTTTCAAGCTGCTGGGCCTAGGACTTGAACCACAGAGTTGGCCATGTGAGATCCAGCACCTTAGCCACCATGCTGGCCCAGTCGAAAAGATCGTAATCCTCCTATATTACATGATCGTGAGTGGGGTTGTTTTCACAAATCCTTCCAATTTAGTATCCCCTCTCTTCCTTGCTCAGGTGTACGATCCATAGCGGAATTTTTGGCAAACTCTAAGTCAGAAGAGACCCAGGAGGAAGTGCAGGTCCTGTTGGAGTCTTTGGTCCACGGAAATCCCAAGTACCAGAACCAAGTGTATAAAGGCCTGGTAGCTCTGCTGCCCTGCGCGTCCCCCAAAGCTCAGCAGCTGTCCCTGCAGACGCTCAGGACTGCCCAGGTGAGCCAGGGCTGCATGCCGCTCGGTCCGGACCCAGGTGCAATGATCTCACAATTGCCTTCTGCAGCCACACCTCACACGGGTGTGAGAGGCAGAGCTCAGCCCCCCACTGCATGCCTGCCATTCAATCAACATTACTTCCCGAACGTGTATGCCCTATAGAAAGTTAAATAATTAAATAATGAGAATGATAAATAAGGTTAAATCGTTTTTTTAAAAAAGAAGAAAAAAATCAGAAACTGCAGAAAGCAACTGGCTAGCTCGAAGATGACTACACAGTTTGTGCTGGGCCTGGCAGCTTGGGAGACACACCGGGCACATGTGTGTGCATGCCCAGGGTGCCCAAGGAGAAAGAGGGAAAGAACTGTGGCAAGATCACCTCCCATGGGGAGTGCTTTCTCACTTTCTCTCTCTCTCTCTCTCACATCTCTCTGTCTCATGTCTCACTCTGGCAAGTGCACATGCCCTCTGGCAAAATTATAGGAATAAAAAAAAAAACTATGCCCCAAAAAAGTCTGAAGCTCCAGAGAGAGGCCTGACATGAAAATGTCAGTTTGGATGTCATGAGCAGACAAGTGATACTGAAAGATCTCAGTCAGACTATGCCAAGTAAGAAGAGAAGAATCACCTCCACTGCTTAATAGGGGCCAGCAGGTGGCATGGTGGTTAGGGCACTGCACTTCCACATGGCTGACTGCGGTTTGAGTCCTCGACCTGGCAACCTGCTTTCTCTCTCTCTCTCTCTCACTCTCTGCTCAAATTAAAATAAATAAAGTTAAATAAAATAATTCTTAATAAAAAAAAAAAAAACCACCATCATCTTCACTGCTCAAGAGATGAACTGAGGAAGGTCTCACAAAACAGATCTGATTATCGTTCTCACGTCCCTATTTTCCTCTGAGTGCCGTCCACATGCCAGGCACTGTCAGGGCTTGTTTATGCTGTTTTCGTGCTCACAGTAACTGATGAGGCAGATGTCATTGTCTCTATTTTAAAGATGGAGCTGAGCCTCAGAGAGGTGGTAAGTCACTTGTTCAAGGTTACACTCTAAGTGATCATTTGAATCAGCTTTCTCTAACTCTAAAACCCTTGTTCTTTCCATATACCACACTGCATCTTTGAAAAAGAGCAATGTTTGCATGGTGATTAGGGCACTGTACTGACACATAGTGGACCACAGTTCGAGTCCTGAACCAGTGACTTGCTTTCTCACTTTCCCTCTCTCTCTGGTCAAATAAAAAAGTAATAATAATAAGTTAAATTAAATAAATCTTTTTTAAAAAGTTTCTATACGGAAGACCAGATCAGCTGGGTCAAATACAACACAGGGTAGAATGGAAAGATGGTCCCAGTAGGAGAAGTGTGGGTGAATTAGGAGTGGCCCACGGCAGGAAAATCTGAGTTGCAGCAGCCTGTCCAAGGGTGAATAGGGGATAAAAAAGTGGCTTCTTGGGGCCAGCAGGTAGCAGGGCACTGGATTCCCACATGGCCAGCCACAGTTCGAGTCCCACACCTGACAGCTGGGTTCTTCACTTTCCCTCTCTGTCTTTCTCTTTGGCCAAATTAAAACAATAATAAATATAATTTTTAAAAAAAATGAAGTGGCTTCTCTTGAGAGGCTTAGGTGAAAAGAGAAAAAGAGCGATAACAAAGGAGACAGCTGGACAATTTGTTAAATACGAGTGAGCGTGAAGAAACCAATGCCTGGTAAACTGAAGATAGGAAAGAGCTGACTGGCGAAGTGAGGTTCCCGAGGAAGAGAGAACTCTAGGATCTTGGATGAGTTCCATTCTCCCCACCCAGCGTCCTCTTCCGTCTAGTCAGCAGCCCAGGTGGCACACTCTAGCAGGTGGCCAGCTGTCCTCGGCAGCCTCCTGAGCTGGGGGGGTTCTGGGCAACCTTGGCAGATGCTCAGTCAGATTCCCGGCTGCCCATCGCTGCCCTCCTCTCCATGGTGAGATCCAGGCCCGAGGACTCACCCCTGCCCTCCTTCCCTCCCCCCGTTCACCTAGATGCCTAGCCGTTTGGAAGTCCACGCAGTTTTTCCTCTGGGTGTATAAAATGTAAAGAGTGGGGGGGCTGGCAGGTGGTTGGGGGCACTGGACTCTCACATGGTTGACCACGGTTTGGGTCCCAAACATAGTGGCGCTCGCTCTCTCTCTCTCTCTCTCTCACTCACACACACACTCTCTGTCCCTCTCTGGTCAAATTAAAATAAATCAATAAATGTTAAATAAAATAATTATTTTTTTAAATGTGAAGAGTGACCACCGTGTCCTGTTGTCCGCTGACAGCTGGGTTCTTCACTTTCCCTCTCTGTCTTTCTCTTTGGCCAAATTAAAACAATAATAAATATAATTTTTTAAAAAAATGAAGTGGCTTCTCTTGAGAAGCTTAGGTGAAAAGAGAAAAAGAGCGATAACAAAGGAGACAGCTGGACAATTTGTTAAATACGAGTGAGCGTGAAGAAACCAATGCCTGGTAAACTGAAGATAGGAAAGAGCTGACTGGCGAAGTGAGGTTCCCGAGGAAGAGAGAACTCTAGGATCTTGGATGAGTTCCATTCTCCCCACCCAGCGTCCTCTTCCGTCTAGTCAGCAGCCCAGGTGGCACACTCTAGCAGGTGGCCAGCTGTCCTCGGCAGCCTCCTGAGCTGGGGGGGTTCTGGGCAACCTTGGCAGATGCTCAGTCAGATTCCCGGCTGCCCATCGCTGCCCTCCTCTCCATGGTGAGATCCAGGCCCGAGGACTCACCCCTGCCCTCCTTCCCTCCCCCCGTTCACCTAGATGCCTAGCCGTTTGGAAGTCCACGCAGTTTTTCCTCTGGGTGTATAAAATGTAAAGAGTGGGGGGGCTGGCAGGTGGTTGGGGGCACTGGACTCTCACATGGTTGACCACGGTTTGGGTCCCAAACATAGTGGCGCTCGCTCTCTCTCTCTCTCTCTCTCACTCACACACACACTCTCTGTCCCTCTCTGGTCAAATTAAAATAAATCAATAAATGTTAAATAAAATAATTATTTTTTTAAATGTGAAGAGTGACCACCGTGTCCTGTTGTCCGTCTTGGCAGTCGATCATTGGAGCCACACACCCCAGCATCGTGGACTGTGTGCTGAAGGTGCTGGGCACGATGCACCTGGAAGTCCAGTATGAAGGTAGGACGCCTGCTCCGGGTGGTGGGCGGCAGCGAGAGCTGGGCGGGTTAGCTCCCCAGTGCCCCCATGGTTGCAAGGAGCCCTGCCGAGTGTCCTGGAGAGCCTTGTCAGGTGGAAGATGCTGGTTCATACCCACCAGCAAGTTTCGAAAATGACAGTCCCTTGGGGCCAGCTGGCGGTGTGGTGGTTAAGGGCACTGGACTCTCGCATGGCGGACTGCGATTCGAGTCCCGGACCTGGCAACTTGCTCTCTCACTTTCCCTTTCTCTCTCTCTCTCTCTCTCTCTCTCTCTCTCTCTCTCTCTCTCTCTCTCTCTCTCTCTCCTGCTCTTGCTATCACTCTGTCCCTCTCTGGTCAAATTAAAATAAGTCAATACATAAATAAATAAAGTTAAATAAAATAACTCTTAAAAAAAAAAAAAAAAAAGCAAATGGCAGTCCTATTCTGGGCGTCAGGCTGGCCTCACAGAGCTTTCACGGTTGTGAGGCCCTGCCTGGGTCCAGAGTCAACTCTGGTTCTCCAACTAGGATGATGCCTCCCTTCCCAACGGAACTCACCCCGAGGAATGTGCTTTTAGGAAGCTGAATCGGACAGTGAGAGCATTCGTCAGCTTTCACTTACTGAGTGCCACTGTGTGCCGGTCACTTTGCATTCATCAGTTCATTTAATTCTCAACCATGAGATTATAAAGCCTCATACATAGTAGGCTTTTAAAGAATTATTTTTAATTTTTTAATTTGTTATTTTTAATTTGCTATAGGGCACATGCATGCAGCAGTGAGAGACAGACAGACAAAGACAGAGAAAGTGAGAAAGCAAGCTACCATGTCTAGGGCTCGAACCATGGTCATCTATGTGGGAGTCTAGTACCTTAACCACCATGCTACCTGCCAGCCCCCCCATACTTGGTTTTTAAATGAAGGAAGGAAGGAAGGAAGGAAGGAAGGAAGGAAGGAAGGAAGGAAGGAAGGAAATAGGTAAGGAAGGAAGGAAGGAAGGAAGGAAGGAAATAGGTATTTTTGTTTTCCAAGATAATTTTTTTTCTCAAGAATTTTGTTTTGTTTTGTTTTCTGGGTTTTTTTATGAGGTTTTTGCCTTAGGGCACATGTGCTCGCTGGACAGGGAGACAGAGACAGTGAGAGGGAAAGTGAGAAATCACCCCCCACCCCCGCCGGGGGGGGTGGCCACACCGCCTCAATCTCTTCTTCTCCATTCGCCTCCCTCGATCTTGGGCACACATGAACATATAACCTGGCATGATTCAAACCAATGGGTCCAGGAGTCAAACTGTGGTTGGCTGTGTGGAATCCAGTGACGTAACAACTACACCATCTACTGGCCCCAGACACAGATTAAGTGTGCTTCCCAAGGTTACACACTAACTGGATTCAAACCAAATTTGTCTGACTTTAAAGCTTTGGGGACCAGCAGGTGGCATGGTGGTAAAGGCGCTGGACATTCCCACATGACTGACCACAGTTCAAGTCCCAGACCTGGCAGCTTGCTTTCTCGCTTTCCTCTCTATGTGTGTCTCTCTCTCTGGTCAAATTAAAATAAACGAATGAATAAATTTAATTAAATAAAAAATAATTCCTTAAAAATAAATAAAAGATTATGCTTTGGGGCCAGGCAAAGGTGCAGCAATAATGCGACTGAGCCCACGTGGGAAAGGCCCTGGGTTTGCGCTCCGGGACCTCTCTGGTACACCAGGAAATTCCTGCGTGCCCACAGTCCGGGCCTGCTGAGGCTGGGGTGGAGCGTGGTGTGAGGGCCCTGTTGAGGGTGCCTGTCTTCCTCTCGCTGTCTCTCTCTCTAAAGAAATAAAAATAATAAACCTAAGGACCCAGTCTCTGTGGTACAGTTGGTAGTGTACCAGACTGGAGCTGGAAGCCACATGCCAACCATGGTTCAAGTCCCCAGCCTGGTGGACTTGAAAACATGCTGAGTGTGTATGTGCCCAGGATCCTGGAAGGCTGGGGGCCTGGGGGAAGAGGATCGAGGCATGGCTGAGCCCTGTGGGGTGGCACTGTTCTCTCTCTCTCTCTCTCACACACACAGGCAGGTACGCACTCATCCTATCATGAGTGAAGAAAGAGAAACTGTTAAAAATTATTAAAGCTAATGTTCTTCCCATATAGCATGTAGCATGTCTTTAAAGAATACCATTAGTTCTTCCTCCTGTGCTGTAGTGGTTCAGAAGAGGGAGAGTCTATTTTCAACAAGCGGAAACAAGGACGGTTCATTGAGGAAGTGGTGTCAGAAGGAGCCCGGGAGAGTGGGGAGGATTGGGGAGGTAGAGGAGAGGAGGACGTTCTTTACGGAGAGTGCGAAAACAAAGGCACCAACGGAGGGAAGTATAATGTGTGTCTGGGGATGACTTCTAACCTCGAGTACTTCTCAGAGGGTGCGCTTGCCAGACAGACAGAAGGAAAGA